CCCACCCATCCCCACGTATCGCCCTGTACTGTTCCTCTCCATCCCCCCATACCCACCAATTCCCACGTATCGCCCGATACTCATCCTCTCCATCCCCCTATTCCCCCATCCCAACGTATCGCCCTATACACTTCCTATCTACCCCCCCCCATCCCCACATATCGCCAAATACTCGTCCTCTCCATCCTCCCATTCCCCAACCCCCACCCCCACGTATCGCCTTATACTCGACCTCGCCATTATCCCATCCTCCACCCAGCACCGCTCCTAGTATTGTGAGTAAGTATCAGACGTATTTCCGAAACATCCCCCCATCCCCACGTATCGCCCGATACTCATCCTCTCCATCCCCCCAGGCGTACGTTTGAGTGTTTCTGGACTGTACTTAGGCGTACGTTTGAGTGTTTCTGGACTGTACTTAGGCGTACGTTTGAGTGTTTCTGGACTGAACTTAAGCGTACGTTTGAGTGTTTCTGGACTGTACTTAGGCGTACGTTTGAGTGTTTCTTGACTGTACTTAGGCGTACGTTTTGATGTTTCTGGACTGTGCTTAGGCGTACGTTTTGATGTTTCTGGACTGTACTTAGGCGTACGTTTGTGTGTTTCTGGACTGTACTTAGGCGTACGTTTGTGTGGTTCTGGACTGTACTTAGGCGTACGTTTGTGTGGTTCTGGACTGTACTTAGGCGTACGTTTGTGTGTTTCTGGACTGTACTTAAGCGTACGTTTTGGTGTTTCTGGACTGTACTTAGGCGTACGTTTTGGTGTTTCTGGACTGTACTTAGGCGTACGTTTGAGTGTTTCTGGACTGTACTTAGGCCTCCGTTTTGGTGTTTCTGGACTGTACTTAGGCGTACGTTTAAGTGTTTCTGGACTGTACTTAGGCGTACGTTTTGATGTTTATGGACTGTACTTAAGCGTACGTGTGTGTGTTTCTGGACTGAACTTACGCGTACGTTTTGAGTATTTCTCGACTGTACTTAAGCGTACGTTTTGAGTGTTTTTGGACTGTACTTAGGCGTACGTTTTGAGTATTTCTCGACTGTACTTAAGCGTACGTTTTGAGTGTTTCTGGTCTGTACTTAGGCGTACGTTTTGAGTGTTTCTGGACTGTACTTAGGCGTACGTTTTGAGTGTCTCTGGACTGTATTTAGAAGTACGTTTGAGTGTTTCTTGACTGTGCTTAGGCGTACGTTTGAGTGTTTTTGGACTGTGCTTAGGCGTACGTTTGAGTGTTTCTGGACTGTACTTAGGCGTACGTTTGAGTGTTTTTGGACGGTGCTTAGGCGTACGGTTGAATGTTTCTGGACTGTATTTAGAAGTTCGTTTGAGTGTTTCCCCACTGTGCTTAGGCGTGCGTTTTGAGTGTTTCAGGACTGTACTTAGGCGTACGTTTGAGTGTTTCTGGACTGTACTTAAGCGTACGTTTGAGTGTTTCTGGACTGTACTTAAGCGTACGATTGAGTGTTTTTGGACTGTACTTAGGCGTACGTTTGAGTGTTTCTGGACTGTACTTAGGCGTACGTTTGAGTGTTTCTGGACTGTACTTAGGCGTACGTTTTGGTGTTTCAGCATTGTGTAGTCCATGCTCTATAGAAAAGCGCAGCATATGTCAAGGTCTAACCAATAGCATATATTTAATATCCCAAATTGAATAAAACAAAATTGAAACATGTAAAGACAAATGATAATAATTAAATGTTGGTTTATGCGCGCTGATGAATACAGGGCCGTGCTAGAAAATGTGCCAAACAGTTCGGACGTGATCGAACTGTCTAGTACAGGTTATAACTTAGGATATCCACAGTCTGATGGGCAAAAACTCTCTTTCATGTGTCAGAAGCAGTGAGTGTTGACATGTTTTTTTTTATATTGAAATTTAGATTTCAGATCATTTTATGAAAAAATATCATAAATGTCTAATTTAAAAACACATGTAAGATTCTATAACTGCTCTGTAAGTGCCCTTACTCTAAAAACATTTCATCTCGGGTTATCTCCTTCCTGAAATGTTAACTATATATTTCTTATTATTGACATCCTCCGAAAACTTAACTGAACCCTGAGCAGGGCATGTTCTCCCAATAACAACATTTCATCCTCTCTCTGCGAACTCCTCTTTACATCTCGAGGCAATCTCTGCGCCCCCAGCTACATGTATCGCCTTCCTGTTATGACAGATTCTGTCTGCTCGAATTTCCTCTTCCCCTCAGATCACCATGTTCATCTCGAATCTTCACCTTATACATTCTAGCTAATTACTCAAATATCTCCTCCTCTGAACACAATTTTCCCCAGATATCTCCCTCTATGACTTTTACTTCCTCACAGATATCTCCTCCTCTCCTCCTCTGAACACGAACCTCATCGGATATTTCCCTATGTGACCCTCTATGACTTCTACTTCCTCTAAGATATCTCCCTCTATGATTTCTACTTCCTCTCAGATATCTCCCTCTGTGACTTCTACTTCCTCTCAGATATCTCCTCCTCTCCTCTTCTGAACAAGATCCATCTCGGATACTCCCCTCTGTGACTTCTACTTCCTCTCAGATATCTCCTCCTTTCCTCCTCTGAACACAATCCTCCTCGGATATTCCCCTCTGTGACTTCTACTTCCTCACAGATATCTCCCTCTGCTACCATAATTATGATCCTCTCAAACATTGTCTGAAACTCGATGGGATGAAAGATTTACACATAGAACACTGGCAATACATCTTACACATATACTACATTATCAAAATCTTCTAGCTGAATTGCCTCATTTTATTTTTTCATATTTTGATGTTGTTGTATCCCTTACTTTTTATCACTCCTACCAATGATATATATATTGATACTAAATGGTTCTATACTTCATGCAACAGCAGCAGGGTATGAACAGGGGGCACTAATGACTTGCAAAACAAAAAACAAAAAAACAATTGTAGCAATTTCTCTGTTTAATATATCATTAGGGCATTGCTTTCCTATTACTAATTAATTATGACTGACTTTTTAATATGAGCATTGTATAGCTAAAAATATCAATTAAATATTTATATGTAATTGAAACATACATGGAATTATCTCCCCTATACCATCTGCTATATATATATATATATGTCTATGCTACCTATTATATATGATTTGCATCAATATTTTCTTACAAACCATTTCATTCATCTTTGTCTTTGTCATGTCAACCTAAGGAGAGAACTTATATAGGCCTAGCCTGCTGTTCAATCCTATTGTTTAATCAATAAAATATGATGAAATCCTCTCAAACATCCCCTCTCCGAACTTAGCATCCGCCCATACATCTCCCTATCCGAACTAAGTATCCGCCCAAACATCTCCCTCTCCGAACTAAGTATCCGCCCAAACATCTCCCTCTCCGAACTAAGTATCCGTCCATACATCTCCCTCTCCGAACTAAGTATCCGCCAAAACATCTCCCTCTCCGAACTAAGTATCCGCAAAAACATCTCCCTCTCCGAACTAAGTATCCGTCCATACATCTCCCTCTCCGAACTAAGTATCCGCCCAAACATTTCCCTCTCCGAACTAAGTATCCGCAAAAACATCTCCCTCTCCGGACTAAGTATCCGTCCATACATCTCCCTCTCCGAACTAAGTATCCGCCCATACATCTCCCTCTCCGATCTTAGTATCCGTCCAAACATCTCCATCTCCGAACTTGGTATCCGCCCATACATCTCCCTCTCCGAACTTAGTATCCGTCCAAACATCTCCATCTCCGAACTTAGTATCCGCCCAAACATCTCCCTCTCCGAACTTAGTATCCGCCCATACATCTCCCTCTCCGAACTTAGTATCCGCCCATACATCTCCCTCTCCGAACTTAGTATCCGCCCATACATCTCCCTCTCCGAACTAAGTATCCGCCTATACATCTCCCTCTCCGAACTTAATATCCGCCCATACATATCCCTCTCCGAACTAAGTGTCCGCCCATACATCGTCCTCTCCGATCTTAGTATCCGTCCAGACATCTCCCTCTCCGAACTAAGTATCCGCAAAAACATCTCCCTCTCCGAACTAAGGATCCGCCCATACATCTCACTCTCCGACCTAAGTATCCGCCTATACATCTCCCTCTCCGAACTTAATATCCGCACATACATATCCCTCTCCGAACTAAGTATCCGTCCATACTTCGTCCTCTCCGATCTTAGTATCCGTCCATACATCTCCCTCTCCGAACTCAGTATCCGCCCATACATCTCCCTCTCCGACCTTAGTATCCGCCCATACATCTCCATCTCCGAACTTAGTATCCGCCCATACAGCTCCCTCTCCGATCTTAGTATCCGCCCATACATCTCCCCCTCCGAACTAAGTATCCGCCCATCCACCTCCCTCTCCGAACTAACCGCAAAAACATCTCCCTCTCCGGACTAAGTATCCGCCCAAACATCTCCCCCTCCGAACTAAGTATCCGCCCATACATCTCCCTCCCCGAACTTAGTATCCGTTCAAACATCTCCATCTCCGAACTTAGTATCCGCCCATGCATCTCCCTCTCCGAACTTAGTACCCGCCCATACATCTCCCTCTCCGAACTTGGTATCCGCCCATACGTCTCCCTCTCCGAACTTAGTATCAGCCCATACATCTCCCTCTCCGAACTCAGTATCCGCCCATACATCTCCCTCGCCGATCTTAGTATCCGTCCAAACATCTCCATATCCGAACTTAGTATCCGCCCATACCTCTCCCTCTCCGAACTTAGTATCAGCCCATACATCTCCCTCTCCGAACTCAGTATCCGCCCATACATCTCCCTCCCCGAACTTAGTATCCGCCCATACAGCTCCCTCTCCGATCTTAGTATCCGTCCAGACATCTCCATCTCCGAACTTAGTATCCGCCCATGCATCTCCCTCTCCGAACTAAGTATCCATCCATACATCTCGCTCTCCGATCTTAGTATCCGCCCATACATCTCACTCTCCGATCTTAGTATCCGTCCAGACATCTCCATCTCCGAACTTAGTAGCCGCCCATACATCTCCCTCTCCGATCTTAGTATCCGCCCATACATCTCACTCTCCGATCTTAGTATCCGTCCAAACATCTCCGTCTCCGAACTTAGTATCCGCCCATACACCTCCCTCTCCGAACTTAGTATCCGTTCAAACATCTCCATCTCCGAACTTGGTATCCGCCCATACATCTCCCTCCCCGAACTTAGTATCCGCCCATACAGCTCCCTCTCCGATCTTAGTATCCGTCCATACATCTCCCTCTCCGAACTTGGTATCCGCCCACACATCTCCCTCTCCGAACTTAGTATCCGCTCATACATCTCCATCTCCGAACTTAGTATCCGTCCATAAATCACCCTCTCCGAACTAAGGATCCGCCCATACATCTCACTCTCCGACCTAAGTATCCGCCTATACATCTCCCTCTCCGAACTAAATATCCGCCCATACATCTCCCTCTCCTAACTTAGTATCCGCCCATACATCTCCCTCTCCGAACTTAGTATCCGTTCAAACATCTCCATCTCCGAACTTAGTATCCGCCCATACATCTCCCTCTCCGAACTTAGTATCCGCCCATACATCTCCCTCTCCGAACTAAGTATCCGCCCATACATCTCCCTCTCCGAACTTAATATCCGCCCATACATATCCCTCTCCGAACTAAGTATCCGCCCATACATCGTCCTCTCCGATCTTAGTATCCGTCCAGACATCTCCATCTCCGAACTTAGTATCCGCCCAAACATCTCCCTCTCCGAAGTAAGTATCCGCCCATACATCTCCCTCTCCGAACTTAGTATCCGCCCAAACATCTCCCTCTCCGAAGGAAGTATCCGCCCATACATCGCCCTCTCCGATCTAAGTATCCGCCCATACATATCCCTCTCCGAACTAAGTAGCCGCCCATACATCCCCCTCCCCGAACTAAGTATCCGCCCAAACATCTCCCTCTCCGAAGGAAGTATCCGCCCATACATCTCCGTCTCCGAACTAAGTATCCGATCTCCCTCTCCGAACTTAATATCCGCCCATACATATCCCTCTCCGAACTAAGTATCCGATCTCCCTCTCCGAACTTAATATCCGCCCAGACATATCCCTCTCCGAACTAAGTAGCCGCCCATACAGCCCCCTCTCCGAACTAAGTAGCCGCCCATGCATCCCCCTCTCCGAACTAAATATCCGCCCATACATCTCCGTCTCCGAACTAAGTATCCGTCCAGACATCTCCCTCTCCGAACTTAGTATCCGTTCAAACATCTCCATCTCCGAACTTAGTATCCGCCCATACATCTCCCTCTCATAACTAAGTATCCGCCCATACATCTCCCTCTCCGAACTAAGTAGCCGCCCATACATCCCCCTCTCCGAACTAAGTATCCGCCCATACATCTCCCTCTCATAACTAAGTATCCGCCCATACATCTCCCTCTCCGAACTAAGTATCCGCCCATACATCTCCCTCTCCGAACTTAGCATCCGCCCATACATTCTCCCTGTCTGATCATCTCAATTCCCTCAAACATTTGCCTAACTACCAGTATATAGAATGCTATGGTAATATAAAAACCGGACACTGCATGATATCAA